AGAGCCTCGAGGTCCCAGGTAAGGGGCCTCCCAGCAGCAGAGGCAGCAAAAACTGAGAGAAACCTAAAAGAAACCAGTTCTTGTTTCTTATACTCTACCCGGCAACACTTCTGACACCAAATGTGTGGGGCTTTTTCCCACATCAAACAATTCTCCAGCTCTCTGGATGCCAACGGGTCCAACTGGCATCCAATTGGACCAATTCTGACACCACCTGGAACTAGCACAGAACCCACAAGTTAAGAGCTCAGTCCCCAAAGACTGCCCCTACTTCAGATGCCAGTCATATGCCCCAGGTTGTCACTGGTATACTGACCAAATGGCTATAAATTGGGGGGGTCCCCTTAACCTCTTCCTTGGGTTTGATAATTTGCCACAGTGGCTCACAGAACTCAGAGAAACACTTACTTATATTTACTGGTCTATCATAGAGGAACATCCAGATGAAGTACATAAGGTGAGGTCTGGAAGGGTCCTGAGTGCAGGTGCTTCTGTCCCTGTGGAAGTTGGGGTGCATTACTCTTCCTGGCACATGGATGTGTTCACCAGCCCAGAAGCTCTGTGAACCTCTTTGGTAAGGGTTTTTTTTTTTTTTTTTTTTAAAGATTTTATTTATTTATTTGAGAGAGAGAGCACAAGCAGGGGAAGGGGGAGGGGAAGAGGGAGAGGGAGAAGCAGATTCCCCACTGAGCAGGGAGCCCGACCGGGACTCGATCCCAGGACGCTGGGATTGTGACCTGACCGAAAGCAGACGCTTAGACCAACTGAGCCACCCAGGCGCCCCTCTTTGGTAAGGGTTTTTAAGGGAGGTTTCATCAAATACCATATACCATAATTATTAACTCAATCTCCAGCCCCTCTCCCCTGCCCCAGATGATGGGGATGGGGCTGAAAGTTCCAAGCTTACAAGGATGGCTTGGTCTTCTGGTGACCAGCCCCCCATCCTGAAGCTATCCAGGAGATCACCATGAGTCACCTCAAAAGATGAGTTGAACAAAAGATGCTCCTATCACTCAGGAAATTCCAAGAATTTTAGGAGCTCTGCATCAGGGACTGGGGGCAGAGACCAAATATATATTTCTTATGTCACAAACTACATCTCTCTGACCAGAGGACTTGGGAAAAGTGTCCCTGCAAGCCAGGGCTGGGGGGATGGGGGGGCGGGGATTACAACGAATTCTTTTTCTCTCCCAGACCTGCCCCAAGGGCAGGACTCAATTGTGCAGCAGTCCATACCAGTATGGGCAGCAGAAATTTCCAGAGAAGCACTGTCATTCTGGCTGACTAGGAAAGAGAGCACTGGTAAGCCAGAGAGTATAGGGGGAATCCTAGAAAGAAGCCGTCTGGAGAAGGGGAGCCCAATTCTGTGTATGAAGTGGCACAAGTTTTGCATGGTTGAAACCAACCCAGCATAGCAAAACCTCTGAAAAACTGAAATGACCTTGGAACACGGTCATGGCCCACAGGTGAGAACCTAACTGGGTAGACTGCCTACTAAACCAAAACAAAACAAAATGAAGTCAGTGTTTTCTAGGGCAGAGATCAGATAATTTTTTCCATAAAAGGCCAGATGGCAAATATTTTGGGCTTTGTGGGCCATACAGCCTATCATGACTACTCAACTCTGCTGTTGTAGTGTCAAAGCAGTTAAAGACAAGATGTAAATGAATAAATACTGTGTTTCAGTGAAATTTTATTCACAAAAAGAGGAAGAGGGTTGGATTTGGCCCACAAGCCATAGTTTGCTAACTCTTGCTCTAGAGGATTTTAAGACTGAGATTCTCACAGGTAATATTCAAAATGTCTAGGATATAATCTAAAATGACTCAACACCCAAAGACCTAGAAAAAGGTGACCCATTTTTAGAGGAAAGACATGAAAGATGCCAACCCCAAGATGACCCAGATGTTGGAATTGCCAGACAAAAATGTAAAACAGGTATTACAATCATGCTCCATGAGGTGAAAGTAAACACACTTTAAATGAAGGAAGAAAATAGAAATTCTCAGTAGAGAAACTAACTATAAAAAGAATCAAATGGAAATTTTTGAACCCAAAACCACAATACCTGAAATAAAAATTCACTATGTGGGCTGAATAGTAGAATGGAGATGACAGAAGAGGAGTCAATGAACTTAATGAGAGATGAAGAGAAAGTCCCTAATCTGGGGGCGCCTGGGTGGCTCAGTTGGTTAAGCGACTGCCTTCGGCTCAGGTCATGACCCTGGAGTCCCGGGATCGGGTCCCGCATCGGGCTCCCTGCTCGGCGGGGAGTCTGCTTCTCCCTCTGCCTGCCGCTCCCCCTGCTTGTGCTCTCGCACTCTCGCTCTGTCAAACAAATAAATAAAATCTTAAAAGAAACTCAAACCCCAAACAAGATAAATGCAACAAAAAAACCCCCACAACTCCAAAAACAAAAACAAAAACAAAAAACCCCCACACTCAGATACGCAATCAAACTTCTAAAACCCAAAGAAAAAGAAAAAAATCTTAAAAGCAGCCTGAGAAAAACCATGGTGGTTTCCCAGAATATCAAAAATAGAATTACCAGATGGCCCAGCAATTCTGCTTATGGGTATATCCCCAAAAGAGTTGAAAGCAAGGTCTCTAAGTGATATTTATTTATTTGATGTATTTATTTTAGAGAGAGAGAGTGAGCACAGGCAAGTGGGGGGAGAGGCAGAGGAAGAGAAAGAGACTCCCTGCTGAGCACAAAGCCTGATGTAGGGTTCAATCCCAGGACCCTGAGATCATGACCTGAGCTGCCCAGGTGCCCCTCTAAGTGATGTTTATATACCCGTGTTCATAACAGCAGTATTCTCAAAAGCCAAAAAAGGAAACTCATCTGACCATCAACAGATGGATGGAAACAAAATATGGGGTGCGCACGCACATGTGTGTACATGATGGACTATTACTCAGCCTTAAAAAAATGGAAGGAAATTCTGGTATATGCTACAACATGGATGAACCTTGAGACATTATGCTAAGTGAAATAAGCCAGTCCAAATGGCAAATACTGTATTGTTCCACTTATTTAAGTTACCTAGAATAGTCAAATTCCTAGAGACAGAAAGTAGAATGGTGGTTGCCAGGGGCCACATGGAGGAGGAAATGGGGAGCTGTTATTTCATGGGTACAGTTCCAGTTTTGCAAGGTGAGATGAGTTCTGGAGATGGACGGTCGTGATGGTCGCACGGCAATGGGAATGCACTTACCACTACCGAACTGTACACCTCAAGGTGATTAAGATGGCAAACTTTATGTTATGTACATCTTGCCACAATTTTTTAAAAAGCAGTCTGAGAAAAATAATAAATATAGAACAATGGGGCGCCTGGATGGCTCAGTCGGTGAAGCGTCTGCCTTTGGCTCAGGTCATGATCCCAGGGTCCTGGGATCGAGCCCCGCGTCAGGCCCCCTGCTCAGCGGGAAGCCTGCTTCTCCCTCTGCCTCTCACCTCGCTCTCATGCCCTCTCACTTTCTCTCTGAATTAAATAAAGTCTTAAAAAAATAAAAAATATGTAGAACAATGATTTCAAGGACTGTGGAGTGATCAGAAACTGTGGAAGAGAGAGCAGAACAACAGCTTTAAAGTGCCAAAAGAAAATAACTGTATCTAGAGAAAATATATTTGGGACTGAAGGCAAAACAAAGACCATTCTCAGATGAAGGAACACTAAGATAACTGCTCAAGAGTTGTTCAGGCAGAAGGGAAATCCGTTTCAGGGGGAAGCTGGAGCTTCAGGGATGAAGGAGAAACATACATGGTAAACGTCTCCTCCGAAGTTCTTTAAAATACACGTAACTGTTGTGAGGCGCCTGGGTGGCTCAGTCATTGGGCATCTGCCTTTGGCTTGGTTCATGATCCCAGGGTCCTGGGATCAAGCCCCATATTGGGTTCCCTGCTCAGCCGGAGGCCTGCTTCTCCCTCTCCCACTCCCTCTGCTTGTGTTCCCTCTCTTGCTATGTCTCTCTCTGTCAAATAAATTAATTAATTAAATTAAATTAAATACATGTAACTGTTGAGAGCAACACTTTTTGATCTTGAGCCAGGCGTATGGCTGCCTGGACCATACTAATCATCCAACCTCCCTTGAAACTAGGTGTGACCTAACCTGGGACAAAGTTCTGGTGAGTTGTAAAAGGAGATATTATGGAGCAGCTTTCTGGAACATTCCTTAAAAACACTGCTGACACATTTCCTTCATTCCTTTTTCTTGGTCCCTTCTTTGCTCATCCTGTTGCTTGGAAGAGGACACCATGGCCAGAGGGCCAGCTGCCATCGCCCACCCCCGCCATGGAGACCCAGAGAAGGAGTCAGGTTCTAAAGATTTTGTGAATCAGACCCATAGTACTAGCCCTGGGTGGCCTACTTTTGGATTTTCATAAGAGGGAGAAGTAAATTTCCCTGGTTTTTTTTTTTTTTTTAAGATTTTATTTATTTGAAAGATTGAGAGAGAGAAGCAGACTCCCCACTGAGCACTGAGCCCCATCCAGGGCTCGATCCTGGGACACTGAGATCACGACATGGGCTGAATTCAGACACTTCACTGACTGAGCCACCCTGGCACCCGGTAAATTCCCCTGTTGTGTAAGCCACAGTTATTTTTTGGCTCATGCAGCATGTTGCTGAATTTAATCCTAATATAGCTCCTAATTACTGAAACCAAGCAACACTCTCAAATGAGTCCTAGGAAGAAGTTCTGGGTGAAGAAACCACTCGAGTGTTTATCACAGGGCTTGCCTGGCACATGGTGAGGTGCTCTATAAATGTCCGTGGTTAGGCACGGTGTTCCTCATTTTTGTACTTCTCACAGGATCCATCACACAGTAGGGGCTCCGTTCTCTGAGACTGCCTGCTGATTTTCTGTTGATCCCCTGCTTGCCCTACAGAAAATGTGTCCCCCATACTTACTAATATCAGCAAGAAAAAGCCGAGAAAGGGGGGATTGCGTTAGGTTCCAGGTTACACAAATCCATGGGAGAAAAATCAGCACTGAAGGAGGAAATACACTATTTATTTACAATTCTTTCACTTTATCCACAATTTCCATACAAACGTAAAAACTAAAAAAATAAAACCACCACTTGGGAACACAAGTGTCTTTCTTTAATTAGTCCGGTTGAGGGGAGGGTCACAGCCCTCTCGCTCTGTGAAGGAGACTACTGAGGCCCACTGAAGGGGAAGAGGAGAGGGTTAGGAAGAACGCCTGAGAAACAGCTCCAGATGAGAAATGGAACGTGCCAGCGTGGTGGAGCTTCACTGGCAGAGACTCAAGGGTGTCACCCACCAGGGACACTGACCGGCTTCCTGGGAGAAGGACAGCTGCTCACCACCATCCCCCCCGACCCTCTGCTATGGAACTCCCAAAATCGAACATGTCACCCATCTCATGAGCTGTGTGGGGTATGGTGGTGACAGTGGGGGACACTGGATACCGCTCTCTGAGAAGGGCCCCAAACCCCAGGGAGACACAGAAAACCCCTTTCCTTGGCACTGATGAGTCAGTCACAGCTTCTGGCTTGAATACGACGCTGACTTAAACGGAAAAACAAAAGCTCTCCCCCAGCCTCCTGGGGAAAGGGAGGGGCTGAAAACATGCAGGAGGGCTTCTGCCTCTGGGGGTGAGAGGTGGGGGGCTCTGTCTGCCCAACACGGGGAAGGAGTGGGGCAGATGCTCCACAAAGACCCCGGGAGGGGTGGGGAGGGGCGGGGAGGGAAGAGAGAACTCTGAGACACTGATGCTGGGGCAGCTGCCACCGGTTGTCAAAGTAGGTCCATTTGCTCGGCGACACTCGCTCTGGCAGACTCCCACTCTCCCCCTCACAGGAGGGCACCCAGAAGCCAACCTGGAGATGCCAGACCCACCTGCCTGGCAACTTCATCTGTGCTAGTGACCGGGATTGCTTTCACATGTTGATGCACATTATAAATATAAAATCATATCTGCTACAAAGAGGACATATATTTGTACATCTTTACCCATATACATAATAACACAATTTACACATAATATCTTGGAGTGGGTCATCATGGGAAAAGGGTTTGGAGAGGTATAAAGCCCCTTCTCCCTCCCCTGCCCTGATCCTTCTCAAGGGACGCCTGTATACTTGGTCACCGGGGTCCTTCCCAGCTGGTGGTAACGGGGCTAGTCTGGACACATAAATTCAGACACATAACTAAATGCTGATGGGTGTGTATACCCACATACACACACAAACACAGGCGCACATACAGACATCTGGTGAGAAAAGGAAAAATAAAATTCCTAGCCCTTGGGTATAGGCCTCTTCCCAGAGTTATAAGGATCAGTATCTCCTCCATCTGAGAACAACAGTCTCAAGCTGCCCCTCACTGGCTCAGACCAGGGCAGAAGGGGAAGGGCTAGGAACCGGGGGGGAGGGGGTCAGGAGTCTTCTGAAAACATAAGGCGTTTTTTGACCTGTGATCAAATCAAACTACGTCACAAAAAGCAACGGCATCAGTTGGGGCCAGGAGGCGAGAGACAGTCAGTCCATGTAGGAACAATGTGAGTTGAGACCCTGAGCCTTCCCCTTCTTTTGTCCAGTTTCTTTTAAAGGGGCAGACAACCCTGTACCTCCTTTCCTGTCTTCTCCCAGAGCTGGGCCCATCCACATGTCATGGAATACTGATAGTGGTCCGAGAAACACATCCAGAGACATGGAGTGGCGGACAGGCACGCCAAAGAGTTAAGACCTGGGCGGCGGATGTGAGCTTTTTACAGCAGGAGTGGTTCCTGGCCGGAGTCCACGGCTCGCACAGTGGCCACAGTGATCAGATTGCCATCAGAGACAGGGACAGTCTGGGTCCCCCGGGGAGACAGCACCTACCGACGGTAGTGATTAGGGGCATCGGCAAACATGTACTTCAGTCTGTATGCCTCAGCGAGAAGCAGCCCGATCTCTTCGTTGCCCCAGTGTATCGTAGGTAGGTTTTGTAGCAGCATCAGGAGGCCCTGGAATGCAAGAAAAGAAATGTTATCATCCCTGGACTACAGACCAGGGGACCAGCAGGTCCCGGAAGGGGGTCCCTTCGTCCTAGATCACACATCCCGCAGGGTCGGGCTCCCTGCTCCCAAGCAGCACTCAGCTCCCAGCTCCCAGTTCACCTTCAGGAAGCCTTGAAAAGCCTCTGTTGATTCTGTCATATCCACTAACACCTGCCTCTTTTAAAAATATTATAAACAGAAAACGACACCAACAAATAAAGATATTGATAAAGAGAAAAATAATCACTCATCATCCAAATATACCTCTCTTTGTTTCCAAGTTTTCCTTTTCAGTCTTTTCACATGCGTATTTCTTTAAATAGCTGTAATCATCATTATGATTTTTATATGCTTTTTAATCATCCTCTTTTACTATAATTGTAGTGTTTTTCCATGCAGCCTTCAAAAATGACTGTTCTCAGTGTTAGTATTCCATCATGTGGCTATACCCTAATTTACTCAACCATTTGCCTTTTATTGGACACTGAATTTGCTTCCTTTAAAAAAAAAACAAAACACCTTTATTCAAAAAAAATCCCTTTCTTCATATTCACAAATGCATATCCTTTTTCATTTGCTGTATTTCTCCTAATGCCAGTGTTCACTTCTAATCACCATATTTAGCCTCTGCCCTGTTCTCCAAAGACCGTTCTCGACCTGCCTGTCCAGCTTATTTCCTATGTTCCCAATGCACATGTCTCTCCAGCTAGGTCCATTTCAGCCAGAATTATTTGTGCCTCTGGGGTTTAATTTATGTTGTTCCTTTAACTTGGGAGACCTTCTCTTTTCTCCTCTACCTATCTCAGTCCTATTCAGTTCTCAAAGCTCAGGTCCCTCAAACAGCTCCAGAGAGACAGCCTATTAAAGAGGATATTAGAATGAAAAGAGAATGAGAGGTTGTCTCTGTAATTTAGTTCCCCATGCTGTTGCTGCTGCTCTGTGTTTTTATCTCTTCCCCTCCCCCTCCTTTTAAAGTCTATTTACATGTATTTATTTTTAAGTAATCTCTACCCCTGGGGGTGCCTGGGTGGCTCAGTCAGTCAAGTGTCTGCCTTCGACTCAGGTTGTGATCCCAGGGTCCTGGGATTGAGTCCTACATCGGGCCCCCTGCTCAGCAGGGAGACTGCTTCTCCCTCTCCCTCTGCCCCCCACTTGTGCTTGCTCTCTCTAGTGCTCTTTCTCAAATAAATAAAAAATCTCTAATTAAAAAAAAAGTAGTCTCTACACCCAACATGGGGCTCGAACCCATAACCCTGAGATCAAGAGTCACACGCTCTACCGACCAAGCCAGCCAGGTACCCCTGTCTCTCTTTCTGAACTGGATATTCTTCTTATTTTTCTGATTATAAAAGTTATAATGGCAAGACAAAACCCAGGGACAAGGAGATGGGCAGACTTGATTACATATAACTTCAATATGTCAAAAGGTGCCAAAAACCCGGTTAAAATCTAAGAAACTGACTATAAGAAAATATTTTGTAACACCTTCAAAAGACCAAATCCAAAATCAAGATACTATCCATACTCCAATACTATCCATAATAAAAAAGTAGCACCTACTAATCAGTAAGAGATAAAGAAAACCACCAGAGAGAAAAACAGGTAATACGAATAGGTAATGGGCAGAAGGCCCATGGCCCACCCCCATGCTGGGAGGACTTTTAAAAAGCCTGCTTTGAGCTGATCTGGACACTCCAGCAGTGTTTTGTAGTTTTCAGTAGAAAGGTCTTGCATATCTGTTATGAGACTTCTTCCTCTGGAAACAGACACTTAGCTGTGCACACACAGCTGCCTGGGGCACATCACTGCTAAGGACGGCCAATAGGATTAAGATCCCAATTCTGGGACAGTGTAAGTTCTGGCTTCTGCCCTAGACCTCTCCTTCCCCACTTCCCAGAAAGTGGATATGAATGGAGGAGTGGACACAGCCATCTCAGACCGTAAGATGAAAGCCGTGTGTTGGAGACGGCAGAGCAAGACAGAAGAGAGCCGCGTCCCTGTCACTCTGGAGGCGGAATGTTAGCCCTGGACTGCTTACCCTTAGACTAGGAATTAAACAACAAGTAAACAACTATCCTTCTTGCTTTAAGCCACTGCTGTTCTAGGGTCTTGGTTACAGGAGACAAGTTTATGTCATCTTAACACACACAGGCTGTATCTATCAAAATAAAAAATGCACATGGTCTTTGATCCAGCAACTCTACCTCTGTGTCCCTGAACTAAGGGAATATCCACAGTCCCGTGCAAAGGTTTTTGCCGCATGCACCGCGGCTTCAAATAGTGGGGAATCATTAGACAAACCGCGGTTATGCACATCATGAAATGCACGGCAGCACAGAGAAACAAATGAAGTAGGACTACATGCACCGTGGTGGAAAGATAATGAAGATATTTTTAGAAGTAAGAAAGAAAAGCATTGTAGAAAAAGACTTATAGTATGATCCCACTTCGGTAAATGAGAAAACACAATATATTTGCATATGTATATGCACATATGTATATAAAAAATTTAGAAATTGAGGAGGTAAACTGTTCACAGTGATTACCTTTGGGGATGAGAGATTTTCACTTTTTTCCCATTATATTTCTGTATCATTTGAGCTCTGTATTTTCAATTTTTACAATAAAGTGGGTTTTTTTTTTTTTTAAGACTTATTCATTCATTCCAGATAGAGAGCGAGCACATGGGAGGTGGGGGGCAGAGGCAGAGAATCCCAAGCAGACTCCCCGCTGAGCGCAGAGACAAGGGGAAGGGACTCTATCTTAGGACCCTGAGATCATAAGCCAAAACCAAGAGCTGGATGCTCAACCAACTGGGCCACCCAGGTGCCCCAACAATAAAGATTTTATATATTACTTGTGCGGTGGAACTTTTTCTCCATAGTAATACACATTCTGTGGTAGTTTTGTTTAGTAAAAAGTAAAAAAGCAGAAAATAAATGACCTATAATTTCATAATGAAGAGGAAGTCACTTTTAAACATTTTTGCCCTATTTCCTTCCACTCCCTTTTCTGCACATTTTCCATAGTTGAAACGATTTCTCTATATAATTTTGAATCTATTTAGCATTTATCATAAGCATTTCCTTTAATATTAAAAACTCCTCGTAGATACTTTCATGGCCAAAAAATTTCTCATGATACTGATGTACCATAATTTACATCTTCCTGTTTTGAGTACTTAATTGTTTTTTCATTATAATGAAATTATAATGAACAGCTTTGTGCATAGAGCCATATTTTAGATGATTTCCTTGGGCTGAATTCCTAGGAATGAAATTACCATGTCAAAGAACATGAACATTTTAAAGGTCCTTAACACTCATTCAGAAAAGGCATTCCAGAAAAATGCTCATTTCCCTAGATCTCCACCAGCACTGAATACTCTTATCAGACAAATTTTGTTAATTGTAAACCTTTTCCCTGAGATCTCCAGGCCTGAGAACAGAACTCAAAAGCCTTAAGTCAAAATGGTGGTGAACTCCCAGGAAGAACACAATGAGAATCACGCTGTATGCTTTTCCCAAACCCTGTAAGTAACCACCCCTTACCATCCCATCGCTGTCATGAAATTCATTCAACCAGACCCATTACTCAACCAATTACTGATACTCAACCCACCCAGACGCCAACTTTGCTTTTAAAAGCCCTGTTAGATGATCTAAACATCTCTGGCGTGCTCTTTTCTCATGGTTAACAATTTTCCATGGGTTTCTTGGCCTCTGTTCTATGTCTACCTTGTTTTTTTGTTTTTAATCTCAACTTAAAAAAAAAAATGTTGCCCTTGGAATACAATACCCTCCCCCATGAACTCCTGGCCTCTGGCCCCTCTGACTCTTCCCTCCTGCTTCCTATCCCTTCCCCCCCAAGTGTCTCCATCTGCACTGGAACTGGAAATGGCACCCCATCTTTTTGCCAGCATCCACCCCAGGGAGTCAACTTTTATTCTAATTCTGGCAGACTCTCTACTACAGAGGTCCTCACTTTTTCTGTACCTCAGACTCTTTGGCCACCTGGAGAAGGCTATGGATCCCTTCTCAGAATGATGGTTTTAAATACATAAAACACATACCGTCACAAAGGAGACCAGTTAAATTGGAACAGTCATCAAAATATTTGTAAACAAATTTATGATACCGCCATAGATGTCCTTTATTAATATATTCTAAAACAGGGCGCCTGGGTGGCTCAGATGGTTAAGCGTCTGCCTTCAGCTCAGGTCATGATCCCAGGGTCCTGGGATCGAGTCCCGCATCGGGCTCCCTGCTCCTTGGGAGCCTGCTTCTCCCTCTGCTTCTCTCTCTCTCTCTCTCTCTCTCTCTCTCTCTCTCTCTCTCTCTCTCTCCTCCTCTGTCTCTCATGAATAAATAAATAAAATCTTTAAAAAATATATATATATATATTCTAAAACAACATCGAATGGCAGATTAAAGAACTACCATTATTTCAAAGTAGTAATGAACACAAACAACGTTTTGAGACATCTGTAACAACTTCATAGGATATGAAAATGCTAGTAATAAGTGACAAAGGAAGGTACTGCAAATATTACTGTGTCTTCTTGGCTACATTCACTATTTTAAGAATTGTTAACTTTGAGTTTGGGGTTATTGAAAATAAAACTGAAATGATGTTTCCATTCATTTCTAGGGATCCCCTGACTTATAAATGTAAGCCCTAAATTAAAGTCTTTTGCTCCTATAGCTTGCCCTTCTCTTGATTCACACCACAGCCAACAAGAATTCTTATACTTCCAGGGCACCTGGGTGACTCAGTCAGTTGGGCGTCTGCTTCAGCTCAGGTCATGATCCCAGAGTCCCGGGATCAAGCCCAGCATGGGGCTGTTTGCTCAGCGGGGAGCCTGATTCTCCCTCTCCTGCTCCCCCTGCTTATGCTTGCTCGCTCTCTGTCAAATAAATAAATTTTTTTAAAAATTCTTATATTTCCCTTTGGAGGTAAGTTTAACA